CCCCCATCCCTCCATCTCTCCATCCCTCTCTCTCCCTCTCTCTCCCTCCCTCTCTCTCCCTCCCTCCCTCCTTCCATCCCTCCAGGTCCTGCCTGGCCTCCGGGTCGGAGGAATGCCGTCAGAAAGCGATGGCCGTTGCTCTGCTGCTGGAGCGTCTGCAGAGGGAGCGGAGCAGACGGAGGGACCTGGAGGGAGACCTGAAGAGAGCCGTGTCCGTCCTCACAGCCATCGCCATGGTAACGCTGTCTGATCGGATCGAACATCAGGATCCATGGTGCGACCCGAACGGTGAGGTGAAGGTTCTGGTTCCTCTGCAGGACTCTGAGAAAATCCCCGGTGCTCAGCCGAGGCTGCAGCACCTGCTGCAGCTGATGGTCACCAGGGAGCTGCAGGACGCCGAGACGGCCGTCCTCACCGGGTCCTCCGACCAGACCGCTGGACCGCCGAGAGCTGAGGGCTCTGGGCCCGAACCGGCCAGGTACCTGGACCCGCCTGCAGGGATCAGAACCAGATGGAATCAGCTGGACCGGGAACCGGATCAGAACTCAGAATCACGTCCCTCTTCCTGTCTGTCCTGCAGCAGAGACGAGGAGGAGGAGGAGGAGGACGCGCTCTTCCTCATGGCCAAACTCAGACCAGGAGACCTCTACCTGGTTCCTGGACCAACATGGACGCCCAGAACCGCCTCGTCCCAACGCAGCCTGACGCCCAGAAACAGGTTGCTATGGAGATCAGACCGATGCCATCAGGAAACAAAAACTCAGTTTAAGACATTTAGATTATTGATTTTAAGATGAAAAACTGTTACAACAGAAAGTCACAAATTTATGGAGTTAAAAAGTGAATCCAGTTTCAAACAGCAAACGTTTAATTATGAATATCTATAGATGATATAAATATAAATTCACGATTTTTTAAATGCAGTCTGTTTCAGAATATTTACAGCAATAACAGCTGATCTGATCTGACCTGCAGATGAAAATCTTAATCCTAATTCAACAAAAATCATTTCTGATCCAAATAAATCAGGTTTCATTCAGACCTTTAATTTCAGTTTCTGCTTTTTTCCTGCAGAAACTCATAAAAAATCTGTCAAATATTCATATTTCCTGGATGTCCTTTAAGTTTTTCTTCCTTTTTTAGTTTGTTGCATAAATGTTTTGAATTGTTGGTAAAATCAGCAGATGAGAAACCTCCCAGCCTCAAACTGCAGACCCAGAATGATCAGAACCGTTTGGGTCCGTCTGTCTGCAGGGATCAGAAATGAGCCTCAACATCTCAGGACTGGAGCTGAAGCAGAAATCAGTTTCTGTGTTTGTTGCATTCAGAGGCTGGATCAAAACGTGGTTATTTTCAGTTGTAGCAGAGTAAACCTCCTCTGTCAGGCGGTTCTGACCCGCTTCCCGTCTGTTGCAGCGTCAAGCTGCCTCCCATCCAGAAGAGTCTGTGGCAGACGGCGCTGCATGAGTGGATGGGATGATCTGGTGAAGCTGCTGCAGCTCAGGAGCTCATTTTGATTCAACTGGAGCTTTTCTTCTATTCTCCTCAAACTGTCAAAGTTGAATAAAAACCTGAGACTAAATGTTCTGCTCATTTCCACCAGCAGGGGGAGACACTTCCTTAAAGAAGCCGTTTGTCTGTAAACCAGAAGAAGCTGCAGCTCAGGATGAAGGTTTCCTGTAAAGTTAAACTTCTCTGTTCCTCCACACTCAGTCAGGAGGAAACATGCTTCATGTTTTCAACAATAAACTGAACCTGATGCATGTTTGATATCTGGGATTAAACTGGACTGAATGTAACCAGTTGCTAAAAATAAAATAAATATCTTTAGATGTATTAATTTCTAATCTTAATGTTAAGTTCAAACCATGTGACTAAAACTTTCAGTGGATAAACCATCTGGAGCGGTTCTGGTCCTTCATGTTTCCTCCTGAGTTTAATGAAATATTGACCTCCAGGCTGCAGCAGGATTTAGTGAGATGGTGAAGAGATAAAATTCATTCATTCATTCATTCATTCAGGTGTTTCAGTGCAGAGAAACATCTAAAACTGAAGCTCAGAGTCCTGAAGACTGAAAACCACTGAGGGCTGGAAAAGGATGGAGTTTTATAAATGTCTGGATATGAATTAAAATACATTTATATAATTTATATTCAGCAGTAAATTAAATAAAATCTCCCAGTAAAAAGCTTTAATGCTGGTTTCTGTGGATGAACAGAATCTATGAGCTTCTTTCACTGCAGCTGTTGAACTGAATTCATTCTGACAGACCAAAGGAAGGAAATGAAACTTAAAACTCTTCAATAGATTCATCTGGAAAAACAAAGTGAAATGACAGGTGAGCCGTTTCTCTTCATCCAGGGTCACCAGAGGTCAGGTCACCCAGGGGTCAACAGGCTAACAGGACGACAGAAAACTCAGGACATTTAGAGACCAGTTAACCAAACCAGTCATGCTTTGACTGGACCGAGCAGCAAACCAGTAAAACCTAAAGATTGGTGGACAGAGTGGAGTCATTTATCTGATGTTTCAGTCATAAAAAGTTTATAACGTTGAGAAACAAAATGTTTGGATTCTCCTCAAAAACAAAAAATCTGATCCAGGATTTAAAATGTTTTTAAATCCACAGAAGTCAAAGTTTCATCAATCAAAACCAGAAAACTGTTGGATTTATTATAAACTTTATTTAAATGTGGTAAAACAAAGTGTGACAGTGCAGCTGTAAAAGGTTATAAACACATAAAACATTATTATTATTATTATAATTCATTGCACAGTAAAACAGGACATAAAACCGGACAGAACCGATCGCCTTTCAGAACCGTTTCTGATTTCAGCTCAGATTTCATATTCAAAGCAGTTCATATGAAAAGGTTCCAGCTCCGGTTCTGTTGGGTCCATTTAAGGTTCGGATCAAACTGGGTCGGTCCGAACGACCCAAAGTACCACCCAGAGTCTAAACACTGGCTTCATGTAAAGATCCAGCCCATCCTGACCCGTCCCTTCCTCAGAACCGGACCCAGAACCGAACCCAGAACCGACCCGTTTCCTCTGCTGAATGTTGATGGAAATAAAACTCGGAGCTGCTGTGGAAACTTTCTGTGAAGGGAAACATTGATGCTTCAACATGCAGGCAAATTCCTGCCACTGAGAGGAACCACCAGAACGGGTCGGACTGGACCGGAACCAGCTGCTGGTTCTGTGTAGCCCTCTGTCTGAACGGAGCAGCAGAACCACTGGAGCCGGATCGTTTGCATGATTCTGTCAACAAGATTTGATTAAAAGGGAAAATCTGCAGCTGGTCAGGAGGAAGTAAACGGGTTATATTTAGAACCAGAACCAGAACCGGAACCAGAGCCAGGACAGAACCAGAGCTGGAGCGAGGACAGAACCGAACCAGAACTGGTAACAGGACAGACCCAGAGACAGAACAGAACCGGAGCCGGAGTCTGGACAGAACCGGTACCAGAACCACCTGAAACAGCCGTGAGGTGAAAGTGAAACGTGATCCAAGCTGATCTGATCCTGAAGTGATAAAGTGGAAACGGATCAGTGAGTTTAATGTTTGGTACCTTTAGATTCACCTGGAAGGGAACTGGACCGACTCGACCCGGTTCTGATGAACCAGATTATGACCCAGGTCCCTTTAAAGAACAGGAAGTGATCAGCTGCACAGCAGCAGCTCTTCCTTTAAAACGTTTCCACATGAAGCATCGTCTGCTCATCTTCATCATCTTCACTGTGACCCAGATGAGGAAGATGAAGATGAAGATGAAGGTCCGCTGCGTCCCGCTCAGCTCAGATTCCAGGAGTTAAAATAAAATAATTACATTTCAGTTTTCTTCCTCCCAGCAGACAGGAAGTGATGTCATTTGGTGCCGTTGTTGGTGGTGAGGAGGAAGATGACGATTCCGGTGAGGAGGACCATCATCATCACCACGGCGGTGAGGAGGAAGGCCCGGCAGATGGGTCGGCCCGTCAGGCGGAACAGGGCGCCGCCCATGCCGCCCCCCGCCCCCCCGCCGTCCCCGGAGGACGGGGTGGGAAGCCCCACGTCCAGAGTCCGGTTCACCGACCTGAGAGACGTCATGGACCGACGGCCCGGCCGACCCGACCGGCCCGGCCCGTCAGACGACCTGCAGACAGGAAACGGAACCGGATCAGTCAGAGCCAAAGTGGAGACAAGGCCACAGATAAACAGAGTTCCTGACAGGGAGCCGTTTGTCCTCCATTAGCACATTTAGCAGCGACTACATGAAGTGATAGACAGCGCTAAGCCCCTCCTCTTGGCTCTGATTGGTTGTTTTTGGTTCATTTCTTCACACAGAAACATCCAGGCTGGTTCCAACATGAAGCTTCTGGAGCAACAGAAACAAACCACATATGGACCAGAACCGGTTTCCTCATACCAGGGCCCAGCGCTGGAGTTAAAGACTTGGACTAGGCCATGAAGCCTGGTCTGTGAGGGAAACTGATCAACTCAGTCCTGCCAAACAGCTTAAGACACATTTAATCATATCCTCTGGTTGAGTTAAATGTAAGTATGTAGCATATCATTTTATCAAAAAAAAAAAAAAAAGCCATTTTGCTTTAATAAAGTTATTTTTACCTGGTTACGGTTTTAAAGCCTCCAGGTTTTGTTGCATTGCTTCACTCAGATCAAACTTTGCTCCTCCAGCAGATCCAAGCAGACAGATTGTGATGTTTATCTTTTATATTAATGATTAAAATGGTGTTTGATTGCACAAACATCTATTTATGGCTGTTTTCAGATTTATTACTCCATCCAGACCTCAGTCTTATTGATCAGTTTGTCATTGATCTTAATATGACCTTGACATTAAGACACAGAGGGAGGATCATCAGATCTGAAACCAGCATGTTGGAAAAATCCTGCAGTTTGTTGTTCATCTCTGATCATTTCTGAGCGTTTACAGCATTTTGCCGTATGCTAAGCTGCACCACTGGATCTGAGCCAGGTTTTAATAACCAACCAGCTCCAATAAAATGATTCAGCAACACAAAAACATTCCAATAAAGCTGACCTTTGACCTGCTGCAGTCAGTGTCCTCTTTGATAAGCAGATCACTGAGTTTGCAGCTCAGTTTTGGTGTTTTTGGTTCCTGCAGAGCTGAACCAGCAGCGTTTGTTCAAATAACGTTAGATTTTAAATCAGAGATTAAATATTTCATATTTATCTCAGAACTCTGTTAGCCAGGAAGCAGAAACTCTCCAGGACAAATTAAACGTCTGATCGACAGGTCAAAGGTCAATCTCATTCATCAGGTTGAAGTTCTGCAGGATTTTCAGTTTAATGGAGCAAAAACTCTGCAGCTCAACTTCAGCAGACTCAACGATCCAACGCTGATTTCTGACACTTCCTGGAACTAAATCATATTTAATAGTTTTCAAAGCGTCTGCAGTCTGAACAGCCATGTTGGATTTTATTAGTAGCATGAAAAACATTACAGAACAAAAAGATCAAACTGACCTGAGTGAAGTTTCTTCACCACCTTCTACACAAAATGTGTGTCAATGTTTTGTTTGTGCTGCTGTTATTTAAAGATATTAAGTTTCCAGAGGTCAAAGGTCAACCAAGACCCCTGTATTAAAATCTAATGAAATATGGTGTCAATCATCTGTTACATTTATGCAGCAAGAATTGTTATAATTTTTTAAATAATAATAAAAAGGTGACCAGCTATCAGCCTGCCCCTCCCCACCATGAACAGTTTATCTAAATTGTGTTTGTGCAGATAAAGTATTTGTTGCGTCACATGCTTGATTGAGTAAATGTGTTTTGGCTGGTTGACCTTTGATGACCTTTGGAAACATTTATCTTTAAAATGAAAGCGGCACAAATGAACATTTTTGCTGCACAAACTTTTAACACCAATTTTGTTTAATTTGAACCCAGATGAAGACCTGCTGAGTGAACGTTGCCACAGCAACACAGTGACCCCTGACCTTTTAGTTTAAAGGAACTGAAGTTCTGCAGGAAGTCGCCTCTGTTCTGTTTTAGACAGAAAAGCCTAAAACCGTGTGGCTGACCTTTTGACCTGCAGCTTCCCCTTGTTGCGGATGAAGCGGATGCTGTAGACCCTCTGCATGGCGGCCGGCAGGTAGGACAGGACGTCCGAGTCGGTGGCCAGCTTGGGCAGGCCGAGGGGGGGCAGCGGGGTCAGGCCGCGGCACAGCGGGCACTGGATGGCGCTGGGCTCCGCAGACTTGACGTTCATACGCGCCAGGCACTCCAGGCAGAAGGTGTGCTTACAGTTCAGCATCTTGGGGCAGCGGAAGACGTTGTTGAACTGGCTGAAGCAGATGGCGCACTCCAAGTCCGGACCCGACTCGTCAGAGCAGTCCATCTGGGGCGGCTGGAGGTCCGGGACGGACAGCTGGGACGGCTGGAGGTCTGGGACGGACAGCTGGGGCGGCTGGAGGCCGGCGGGGGCGTAGGGGTTATCGGTGGGGCTGAAGGCCGGCAGTGGCAGCATGGAGCTGGGGGCGGGGCCTGGGGGGGCAGGGCCTGGAAGGGCGGGGGGGAAATGAGCAGCTGGGGGGGGGAGAGCGCTGCGACCCGTCTGGATGAATGGAGGAACCGACGGATCCACGGAGTAACTGGGGTTAGAGGCCGAGTACGGAACCGGACCGCCAGAAAACCCAGACACATCGTCTCCATATGGATTCATGACCGAGGAGAGAGGAAGCCGAACCGCTGGATGGAGGCGGAGCTTCAGGAGAACAAGGAGCGGCCGGAGAACGGGGAGCTTCAGGAGAACAAGGAGCGGCTGGAGAACGGGGAGCTGCTGGGGAACAAGGAGCGGCTGGAGAACGGGGAGCTTCAGGAGAACAAGGAGCGGCTGGAGAACGGGGAGCTGCAGGAGAACAAGGAGCGGCCGGAGAACGGGGAGCGGCTGGAGAACGGGGAGCGGCCGGAGAACGGGGAGCGGCCGGAGAACGGGGAGCTGCAGTGTTTGGTTGCAGCTTCAGTCTTCACTCCATCATGACTTCCTCACATCTGGGAGGGAGAAAAACAGACACACTAAATATTTCTCACTGTAATCAAAAAATTACAGTGACTGACATGATAAAAACACACAACTCCTGGTCAGACAGAAAGCTTCAGTTTTTCAGTAAACAGTTTCCTGGATTCCTCCGGCTGTTGAAACTCTAAACAGTTCATTTCTCCATCTGTTCTGTTTTATCTTCCACCTTCAGGATAAAATCTGAGCCGTTATAAATAATTTCAGAAGCAACATCATTAAGCAGCTCATTTCCTGGCCTTTGTATTGCCTTGTTGCTGAAAATGTGCTGTATAAATAAAGTTACCTTTACGTTTAATCGATCCTTTAAAGTCAGTTTTTACTCCAAATCAAAGGTCATCAGTGGAACAGTCAACGTTTGACCTGCAGCTCACTGACCAGACTGACGTTTATCTTAAGATGTTCAGGTTTGTCGTCTTAAATCACCATGACAACAGAAACACATTTTGGCCCCAAAACAAACTGAAACTTTTGGGTTTAATCAGCTGCTGAAGGTTCCTGTGCAGCTCAGTGGAGCAGATGGTAGAACTGAAGCCCTGCAGAATGAAGGTTGTGGGTTTGAATCCCAGTCTGGGTTTTTCTGCATTTTCTCCCTTTGGGGCGACAAAACTATGAACTCATAGTTTCAACATCAGGTCACAAACAGCTGTGGACCCAACAATAAAACCACCTGAAAACCTGCAGAGCCGCTTTATGACACCAGAATCAACCTGTCTGGTTCTGCTCAGACCGTCAGATGATCCAGTTGCTGCCTGATGACACCAGGATCAAACCAACATCCCTCTACCAACCAATCAGCCTCTGCATTAGTAACAGGCTGATATTCTGCATCTCTGAATATGTTTCAGTAACTTTACTGATACAGTCCGACTGTGACTATGAGACGGATCTGAACACGACCCAGATTCCTCCTGAGCAGAACTCAGAACCCAAACTAACCCGTCATGCTGGTCGTCATGGAAACAGGCCAGTTTCTTCAGCCTAACACCAATAAACACCAAACTAGGAAACATTTCACCCTAAACATCTAAAAATGGATAAAATCATGTAAAAGATCAGCTGATGGACTCAGACTGAGAGGAAACAAACAAACCAAATATTTTAATCTAGTGAGTCACATCGGATCATAAACATTTGGAAAAATAAAACCACTAACAGTCGACCTGAACCTGCTGGAATCTGATTCTGTAAGGAGAATTTTTAAAATGTAAAACATTTAGAAAAATACTGAAACTATTTCATCTGCATAAAACACATTTGACTGAAATGTCCTTCAACAGGAACCTGATGGTTATAATGTAAAACATGAATGTTGATCACTGAGCTCTGCTCTTCCTGTAATGAAAGTCAGAATATCAGTTTTAGAAAAGCTCTGAAACAAACTCAAACCTTAAAGTTGGTCAGAAGTTCCTTTAAAAACATAAATCAGATGTTAAATTAAACTCCAGGTCGTCTCCTGTGCAGTCAGTGTTCCTACGTTCCTACCTGCAGCCTGACGGCTCCTCTCTGACACAGCGGCTCTCTGTAGACCTGCTCAACATTTCCATTGGTTTGCATACGCTTCCCTAAAACTGGATTCTGTTCTGAGACCCACAGAACCAACTGAACTCGTTCTGATGTAGCGGGAGATGAAATTTGCATCGTCCAAATTATTTACAAAGGGAAATAAGATGCAAAAGACTCGACCTGTTGGTGGAAACGCTGAGCAGGAATCACCTGGACTGATCCAAAAAAAACAACCAACAGCTGCTGGGAGATTCAATAAAGCTGGAAAACACAACAACATGGATCTGACTTCATGATGAACTGGAAGTAAAATTAAGGATTTAAGTTTATTAAACTGAAAATGCTTCTTGATTTAAAGGACAGTTGGATATTTTGCCTATTGGCTGTTTCCTCTAAAAACATCTAAACAAAACTTTATGATCAATTCAGCTTGTTAAATATGACTAAATTTAAAACAATATAAAATTATTTTACAGATTTTAAAATATCTCATCCCATTTTGATGCATTTTTGTATTTTTACTCTTTTCTCAGAAGTTTAAGATCAAAACTAACAAAATAAGCAAATAAAATCCTAAAACTTCAGACAGGTGAAAACTTTAGAGATTATTTTAACAGGTAAAGAAAAACTGTTAATTTATGTGAACTGAACATGTGCTGCCCTGCCAGCAGATTAATGGAAAGACAACAAAGAATGAAATCATCTAGAAGCTCCAGATTCTCTTCACTGAGGCCTGATTTCCTGAAAGCTGCTGAAGGTCCAGGTGAATCTGATCCGATTTCATCTCTGAAATATTTCTTCTGTTTTCCAATTATTGACTTCTAACCAGTTTACCGAGTAAATATGGAGAAACTCAAGATTCACACAAAAAGGTTCATAAACGGATGAATGAAGCAGCTTTTCTTTCTATATTTGGGGAGATTTTAATGTAAAATAATCTGTGGCCCCATCAGCTCACCGCTGAATTTAACTTGTTAAATTTATCAGTTATTTTTGCTCATGCAAACAATCAGCAGTGACTCTGCGCTGCAGCCTCAGCTCTGGTTCTGTTTTTACCTTTTCTTCATCAGGTTCGGTAGATCCGGTCCAGAACTCAGATTCTGGTTCTGTCAGTGAAACTCTGAAGGTTTGCAGATCAACAGTCTGTAAAGCTTCTCTGCAGTTTGAAGACTGACGCACCTGAGGAAAGTGACGCTGATTGTTGTTCAGCTGCGCAATTAACGCAAACGCTTCTGTTCTTTAGATGCGGAGTAACAGTTGATCCATAATAGAATATTTCATCCATGATCCATACATTATGTTTCACTTAGTGGGGTCAGGAGGGGAACATCAGACTATTTTAACCTAAACATGAATCTTTATTGAACCAACAAACCAGTGGAGCACCGGCTGCCAGAGGCGAACAAAGAGTTTCTGGGGCCCTGAGCAGAAAATGGTTCCAGTTAAACTGATTCATGACCATCAAGACAGAGCAGCTGTAATACATGAGATATTTTTAAATGTTCATTTAATTTAACAACTTATTTTTGAAACAATTAGTGAACCACCTGATTCTTATTAAATTAGCAATAATTACTTACATTATTTATTTATTTATTACAGAAATGTTCATATTAATTCTTCATTTTTTTCAATATGTGGTTTATAGTGTGCTCTGATTTTCTATTTTATTTCTTGGAACACAATTTGCTGAACTGGTTATGAATATAAATGATCAGACAGTTTTTTTCTTTTTGTGTCAGTAAATATTTTTTCGTGAGAGATTTTCTGTTATTGATGAAGTTTGTTGTCTTTTTGTTTGAGAAGTGATCAGAGGGGATAAATGAGAGCTTTTCAAAGTTTCAGTCCAGTGTTTCATCATCAATAAGCTTCATTAGACTCTGCAGTTTTAACCCTTTTACGCCAAAGTTTCAAGTGTCTGCCTAAATAAATCTTCCTTATTTTAAGTGTAAGTAGTTCTTTAAATGTCCTGTGAGCCAATATACTTACCCATGTATCCATAACAACCATAACTTTCAATATCCAGCAAGTTATTTTTGCAATTTACCGTCTATTAAACAAGTGCCCCCCCGGATTAATTACACTCTCTGCAGCTGTGAAGTTGCCGTATTAACCCGATATTTGTTGGAAAGTGCAACATCTCCCCTTTCAGAAACCGTTGGAATTTTTCAGATAGCGCTACGTGTGGCGGAATTACGGTACTGCAAATTTAGATGTGTCACCGCCGACTAGAAGGGTTAAATTAGGACAGGTCATAGACATGCTATCATAGATGTTCATGATGTGAAACCAAGATGAAGTGAGATGTGCTGTAAGTCAAAGGATTCAGATTGAAGAAAGAAGTCTGTGCCACATTTCTACACATAGAACATGGTTTACCCTGCAGCTACATGTCTGCCTAATCTCAGTCTTCATGCAATCACTGCAGCAGATGGTTTGGGAACATTTGAGCCTCCAGCAGGCCACCCCGGGGGTCATCAAGGCCAGTCCAGTGACCAGTAAGTTGGTGATGATCAGCCTGGATCTGGTGAAGACCTGGCTGTTGGTGATGAGCATGGAGGTGATGAAGAACTTCATCCAGGTTATCCTTACGTCTCTGACAGAGGCTGCAGAGGATCAAGAACCAGCAGCCGGTGTCCGGGTCCAAAGCTATGACCTGTGGGGGAACCAGAGACGGCACAGTGACGAGAGGACTGTCTTTGGAACCGGACTGGACTGGGCAGGGACTGGTTCTGAATGGCAGCTGGTGGTGCATTCGAGGTGTTGGAACAGAGACCATGCTCAGCAAGCCTGTGATCAATGCACTGACACTGTGATCACCTCCCTCATCAGGATCACCTGCCAGGTGAACAATTCCACCAACATGGCCGACTCTCGATGTGACCTGCTGAAGATGGCTGATGAGGATGACCCTGAGGCTGGACATGTGGCTCCATGTTGAGCTCAAGCTGCAGCGGTTCAACAAGCTGATGACCGAGGAGCAGCCGCCCAGGCTAACATCTCCATCAGCTGCACCAGCCTGGAGATCCTGTGTTTTCTGCTGATCATGCTGCAGTCTCCGGTTATCCCGGCTCACTTCAAGCTGCTGCAGTGAAGCATCGCAGCATACATGACTTGTGGCAACACCAAGATCCTGGGGGTCTTACTGGAGGTGTGGAGGAAAGCTAAGCTAAACCTAAAGGAAATCATGTGTTAGGAAATACAAATGAGAGCTGAGGTATTGGATGACACACTAGGTAACACCCTCCTTGGGGCGTAGCTCAGAGAGACAAAGGGAATGGAAACGTTTTGTTTGAGGCCATTTGTCTATTAGCTCCTATCATCCATCTATCTATCCATCTATCTATCTATAATCAAAACACTTAACGTTTACATAGCATCTCTGTAAGCTTGTCCCTGTTAGCTTACATAATGCCTCATATTCACCATATGGGGCATTATGGTGAATATAAACGATTTATTAACTTACCTTCTAAGTTATTGTGAAGTTTGACACATTAAGCTTCAATCCTTTGTTGTTGTTGGAGCGTTTCAGGACGTCTGAATAATTACATATACAGTTAATAATGACGAGCAGACACTGTTAACTTACTGTTGCCTTTGCACTGAAACCAGTCTATGTGGCAAAAAATGCTGAAGTGCTAAAATGGGAGTCTGTGGCACATAGGCTATTTTATGTTTTTGTTTCTTTTTATTGGTCTGTACAACACTTTGAGCTGCTTTTATTATGAAGGGTGCTTTATTAATAAAATTGATTGATTGATTGATATATTAAACAAAAAAACAAAAAACAAACAAATCTTAATCAATTTCTATTTGCTTCGTCCCTTTCCCTCTGTCTGAACCTCACTGCAGTGCATCTGACCTATGACCTCTACTGTCTCTGACACTTTGTAATGATCCACTAGTCAGCCAGCCAAGATTCCATAAAATGTTTGGGAAAGGCAGTGCAGCCTTCACCTTCTCAATGAGCCTCTGTCATCCTCTGTCTGAGGTCTGGGACTGAAGTGAAAGTTAGTGAATGTTCAGATCTGAGCTGGAAGTAAAGAAATCAGAGGAGGTCTGATCATGTTGGTCATTTTAGGAACGAGTTTCATTTGAAAATTAAACAGATTCACTTTCTCTTTAAATCTTTTCTTAAATCTTTTTTTTTCTCTTTAGCTTTTGACTCACCTTGAATTGTTGGCTTTAAAGTTTTGTTTTATTTTTGTGTCTGTTTTATTTGTTTTTTGTGTACAGCTCTTTATCTTCTGATGTTTTAAAGTGCTTTATAGTTAAAATTCTATTAGTTTGTACTTTTCAGTTTTCTTGTCAGTTCAGCTCCTCAGTAAAATAAACTGATCAAACTTTGTGAAGATTTTCTCTTCTTTTGGAGGCAAAACAGGAATGAATAGTTTTTATGTTAACTTCATTTAAGTATTAAGCGTGTTTTGATTTCATCTTGGGGAGTTAATGTGTAACTGTAAGTTTCACATTAACTCAGATCAGCGTTCTTCCCGCCCTACTGACAGACGAGGAAGGATTTCATTTCAGAGCAGAGATCCGTTCCTGAACAGAGAGAAGAAAAAAACAAAAGGCCTTCGCAGCGTTTTCGCTGCTTTGGCCTAAAGATACCACAGCAACTCACATTTAAGGTACGTAAACATAAATGTAGCTTTAGGAAATTAATAAAAATACAATAATCTATCATATTATCTAGGTTTATCAACATTTCTCTGTTAAAATATTATCTGAATTTATGACCAGTTTGCTTCATTTTCAAACAGTCTGTGAGTTTGAATTTAGGGTATTTTATATTAATTTACTTTTTCATAACTTACCTGTTTTGAAGACATGAAAGGATGAAGATCTCAGTTCTCTGAGGCTCAAAGTTCAGATAAACTTTTGATTGCAGGAAAAATCAGAACAATAAAATGTTGTAAAAACAGAAACAAGATTGTGCTGAACCTTTAGCTGCTGCTGAACTCTGAACATATTTTATCTAAAATTATTTTAAAAAAAGATTTCAGTTCCTTTAGACTGAAGAGAAATAAGTGGAGATTCAGGTTTCCCACATTTGATTATTGTTTATTTTGTTTATTCTGCTTTTTATGAAAAAGGTTGTGTTGTCACAGCCAGGAGTCTCTGTGCTTCAGTTCAGTGGTTTCTGACTCTGGAACAATAATAATAATAATAATAATAATAATAATAATAATAACCGAACATTCATTGTATATATATAGTATATATCAAATTGTTTCATGGATTGTGCTGTAAATGAGCACAATCAATGCTGTTACATGAAACAATCTTTCAGTCTGTAGATTTCTAATAATTTCCAAAAATCCTTCAGCTGTTTGTGTTTTTCTTTTTCAGCTCGACGTTTCCAACTCTGTGTCACCATGGCCTCTTCATCATCTTGTGAGTCCTCTTAAAGTTTATAATGAATAAACTCTGTGATGATGGAATAATGATAGTAATATAAATAATTATGATACATTTGAAACTACACCATTTATCTTTAAAGAAAGTCACAAAGAGTTTCCAGGGAATCTTCCAGTTATGTTCTGTGACAGGATGAAGGGTTAGAAATGAAGAAAAGACAATATTTATGAAACAGAGTTCATAAGAAAAATTATGTGTTTATAATGTGTGGAGTGGATTTATGGAATGGATTAAATATAAAATTTTTAACTCATGTAACCTGAAAACGTCATTTTCAGGTTACATGGTGGAGGATGGATGTTGATGGTAGAGACGTGAAACCATCTCCATTTTCATAAAGACTGTTTCTGGTGGATGTTTGAGCTAAAGAAATGGCTGGAGTGAGTTATCTCTGCTGTGAAAGAAATAGATCCGTCTTTTTTATTGTTCTTTACTAAACACACATCCTTTCTATTATATAACAGTTATAATAGAAAGGGGTCAGGATCAGAAAAGGATTTTTATCATTATTATGTACCTTTTATCTACAACTAACAACTTTAAACAATTATTTAACAAACAACTTGTGATTTAAATTAATTAAATTTTACTTTTCTGGATCATTTTAATATGGTATTTCAGAACCATTTGTTTAGCTTCTATTTAAATGCACATTCTTCACACAGTAAGGAGTTTTGATCGCCAGACGTGTTAATATTTAATTTTTGTTCTCAGCTCTGACTGTAACTATAACTAGAGTATATAGCACCATTTCAACTGAATAGAGATTTTCACTGTGAAGTTGGATGGTAACAAAAGAGTTTTATTATTTTAGGACCTTTGTTGAAGCCAAACTTTGGCCTCCGGGCTTGATATAAAACCAATATTTCTCTATTGCTGACAGTAAGACAATAAAATGAGGTTAATGTTTCTTTACTGATGCAGCTGAGAAAGCTTTATGAAAGTAACCATATTGTTTTGAAATAATTCGTTTTTAAAGTGAGTCTGGGTTAGTCATGAAAGGACAGACGAAATGTTCAACAGTTCAGTAAGACTTTGTCTGAAGTTATCACTTAAAATATAAAACTGTGATTTTTTCTGTAATCCAGTAAATTACTGCTCATCTGTCCACCTCAGCATATTAACCTTCTTTATCTTTTACCTGTTAATTATTGGATTTTCTATCTTCACAGCTTCATCACCTCGACTGCTGCGAAGAGGCAGCATTATCTGTTTCCCACCTGAGAGTAAGTTGAGTAACAATATTCTGAAGTTTGGCTGTTTTAACTGAGTTCATTTCATTAATATAGTGCCAATTCACAACATGTCTTCTCAAGGAACTTCAAAAAATGTTGGTTAAAGTTTATAACTAATGAAACCCAACAGATTGAATCAAATCATAGATTTGCAGCATTCACTCCTTCTACTACTCTCTTCTCAACATTTTGTTTCATTGCTTTGCGGATGACGTCCAGATTTACATGCCCCTCAAACTACTAGATGTTCAGCTGAAGTTAAATCATGGATTGAATAAAATTTTCTTCACCTCAATCGTAGCAAAATTATTACTATAATATTTGGTCAAAACTTTCACACTAAAAATTCCAGACTCAGTTCTTGGTTCTTTAGCTCCATTTTGTCAGACTTCAGCCAGGAGTCTTGGCATTATCTTTGATAGCTATTTAGACAAACAAGTTTGTTTCGTTGTTAAATCAAGTTTTTGATTTAACAACCAAAAACTGCAAGTGATTTAACAAAATCACTTGCAGTTTTTAGCAAAGGTGAAATCTTATTTTTGTCTAAAGGATTTTGAAGGAATTATCCAGGGCCGTGCAGAGACCACTAAGGGGCAGGTGCTCAACTACAAAAAAAGGGCCCATCTAACCTTCTAGGACAGAATATGAACAAAGCCTCTCAGCTTTCAGAGTTTAATAAACAATGATAAATTA